CAAAGTGTATAGAAGAGAAGCAGTTCTTGAAGATTTTCCTTCCCATGTACTTATCTACCTCATAGATTATCAATGCATCATAGTTGTTCAACTGGTCATTCATTTTAACCTATTTATTCATATCACCACTCCCCTCCCCTCCAACCAGTACATCATCCTTTTCTGCTGTAACAGAGTTTTCAGTATGTTTGTGCTGAAAAAAAAAAAAAAAAACCAATCAAAACAAAACAAACTGTCTTAAGCATAAGCAAATATAAAAAAACATATATATATGTATATATACATATATCTATATATAAAAATGACTCATCCAGTCCATGAAGAGGATGACTCTTCTTCTAAGGAACTTTTAGAGTCCAGTCAAAAACCGTCAGAGGTTCACAGATTACACCAAGCAATGGAAAACACCCACTTGATAGACAAAGATGGGGTGACACCTCCACATCCAAAATAGAACACAGAGAGAAACTTGGATGAACAAAATGGATGAATGTCTATGCAGCAAGTGCAAGCCAGGCATGCTGGGCATGGGAGAAAGAGTATGCCAGGGTCTAAATTGGACCATTGAAGGAGAGGGGAAGCCACCACATGAGCCAGGCTGGAATGGGAAGGGGTGAACACAGCCCAGCCTAGCACCATCATGGCTTTAACAAATCACTGTGCATGAGTTGGATGAATGACGCAATCCATCCATCCACACACATGGGTGCATTTAATTCAACAGCATTGCCACCACTCTGCAGGTGGGAGGGGAAGAGTTCGTTTATAGAGCCCCATTGTTTAAAATAATAGTGTGAGTACTGAATGCTTCTTGCACCCATATGGGAGGGAGGGGGAAGTGGTGTTACCTTGGCTTGGCTTGATTGGCTTTCCTATTACTTGAGGGTGAGCTTTGCTTGACACACATGTGGGACAAGGCAGTTGTGCATGTAGAATGCAACAACTCACGTAGGGTGGGGTGTGGGGGTCTTTTAATTGATGATGCCATGGACCCCTCCCCCTCACTGCCACTTCACCCACAAAGTGTCTACCCTTTGTTTCATAGATGAAAGAAAAAAAAAAAAAAAAAAAAACTCCTCCTGGGATATGTGGACAAGGAATCCAGATGCAAAACCCATGTCATGAAAAATATCTCCATTTATTGACATTATTGTATCTATATTTTCTCCTCCCCTTGTGTTCATTTTCTTTTTTTCTTTCAGAAATTTATGTACCTTGTACTAGTTTTATCCCACCTTGTCATGGTGGCTTTTCACAGGCACACAGAACCATTAACTATGGTCCATAGTGCACCACAAAAGCATGCATTAGCATTCTGTACCCATCAAGCTTTGTCATGTTACTACTGTTTCAGTGCTACCAGACTTGTGGAAAATCTGTGGAAAATGTGTCATTTTGGAGAGCATTGCTGACACATTAAGGACTCAGCTCCAGGTGCCAGCTATTTGGTGGCTTAAAGGAATGGCAGAGAAAAACTTCATTTCTGCATCTTCATCAAACAATCAAAGTTGGGAATTCTTATACAGTTGTAAGGGATCAGGATGCAGTTGAAAATGAAGGTTCAAAAGGGCTGATGGATCCCATCAGCCACCCCCTCCTTTGCCCATTTTGGCCCCTTTCTGGCATCCTGTTTCTCTCATTGTTCAGATGCCAGATGTGATGGTTTTGCTGTGTATGCCAATTGTGTAATACCACATGGACATTTCTGTGGACTGCCCACGGCCATGGCTGTCTGAAGCATAGCCAGAAGAGTCAGCTTTTTCCCTCTTTATGCAGCTAAGATTCTTTTGTGCAAGGATGGAAAATATATATATATATATATATATATTATGCTACAAAATTGGACTATGATCTGTCTCTGTCTTCATGACAGTTTTGGTGGAAATTATAGATGGAAAAGTTGAAGGAAAGCATGTGTGTTGTCTTGTGATGAATGAACCCTAACTTTGTTTGATAACAAATGAAACCCTTTTTTTGATTTGTTTTGATTTTGTTTTCCATGAATGATGTGACAAAATAGAACAGAATGAAGTCCTTTTTTGTTTTACAAATCCACAATTGTAAAAAGTGTGCCAACAAACATCATTTGTGTTTGTGTGTGATTCTTTGATTTTTGGAAATGGGTAGGAGGTATCTTTTTTTTTCTCTTTTATTTATTTTTATTTTTTGTATGATAACAATTCAAGAGTAAAACTCAATATAAATCTACAGGCCATATTATATGGAGATCTAGATTGTAGTGTGTTTAAGTGAACAATTTTGGATGCCCTGCAAGGAGATGGTGGTATTGAAATCCCAGTATACTATGATAGAGGATGATAATGTTTAAATTTTATAATTTATTAGAAAATTTCTTGTGGTTTCCTTTGCTCACTTTCCTATGGTGATTAAAAAAATAAAAGAAATGGGAAAATTACACTCTATGATTTATTACTATTATCATTATTATTATTATTCATTGTACCCAATGGGTTTCTGAAGTATATTACCATCTTGGTGATGTGAAATAAATTGACCAGTATTACTGAAACTGTATCATATTTTTATATGCACTTGTGGGTTCAAGAAATATTTTATAAATGTGCCATACAATACTTAATACCAGTAGGAACATTTTATTACTGTGTGTGCATTAACCAAAGAGTGTATGCATGTCTGTCTGTCTGTCTAACCATCCTCAAATGCTCATATAACATGCTGATTTCTTTGGGAAATGAAGAATGTGTTGAAAAATGACAATGTAATTTGATGCAGAGAACTTTTTAATAATCATGTAATATTCCATTGACACAGAACCAAATATAAACAAGAACATGGTGCACAGTTTAGATGAAAATTTACAGGTGTGTTTCTGTTTGCAGCCCAAAAACATGTTATTTGATTCACTCAAGTTTGCAACTTACACTATACTACACTGTGGGTAAAAATAGGGCAAATCCAGGCATGGAGCACTGGAGTACAAAATCAAGCAAAAAGGGGAAGGTTGTGTGAGTGGATCTAGTCAATGAAGCTTTCACTTGGGCAACAGCATCCAGCTACACTGCCTGCTTGAATGAAGCCCTGGTTTCAGTTTGATTCAACAATCAGATTCATGCAAACCCTAAATTGTGGAGTAACCACCCAACAAAACAGGTGCTCATCACCCCTGCCTGTCTGCTCTATATGGATGTGCAAGACTGGTTATATTTGGAGCATTGCTGGAAGATTCATGTTGTGTGGACTTAAAGTATCTCAAACTCCTTGACTGTGTCACTTAGTGCTAATCCAGTCTCTCACAAAACCTTGCCAGCAAGGAGCATCACACATTCCCTCCCTCTTTTTGCCTTTGTTTCTCCATCTTTTTTATTTTGCCAATTCTGGTGCAAAATGGGAACTAGGTTTCAAACCCTAATAGTGCTTAAAGGCAAGTTTTGTACTGTGAGAATATGATGGCTTTTCAACCAGAAAAAGCATGTGCAATTTTCCAAAAGCTGTACAACTTTCAGGCTCCCACAAGATAACATGTCCATGAAGTTCACTCATTAACATTCCAAAAAGCCTTTCTGTGCACAAAGTGGGTTTTGAAAAGTCCAGGAGATCAAGTGGGTGCTTCTGAGGCTTGGATACATCTTTTTGGGCTGGTTTTGAAAATTGAGAACAGGATGAAAAATATATATATATATATATATATATATCTATTTGTACGGGTGCAATAACTTTGAAAAAAATGCATCTGTAGCACATCTCCTGCTGTAATAAAAGCCCAGGAGGCTTCTTTACTTTCGTATTTATAACAGACTGGTACATGTGGCGGACTTTCAACTGGATTTTTGCAGTAAATGTGGGGGCAGTTTATATCATCTGTGTATCCGATGCACCCATTTAAAGCCACAACCCAGTTTGTTCATAACCATTAACACAGTGTTGAGAAAAATTAACACCCAGTTATGGGGTTATCACACCCTCCTCAGGGCTAGTAGACATAGCACCAGGTTGCCTCAGAGCACATCTCAAAAACATTGCACAGCTGGCAATATTTTTAAATTCTTTGTCATCGAACTAGATGTTGGAATTTCACAAACCACTTGCACAAACTTTCTCAAGCTTATCCTTGGTATTTAGAATAGAATCTAACCTCACTGAGCTGGATATGTTTAGAGAAACACTTCTTGTTTGGTTGAAGGAAAAAGTTTGTTCTGAATGAACCTTTCCATACCACTGTGAGGTAAATTTCTGCAAGTACAAAACCATTAAAAATTTACATGACTTACATTACGAGATGTCAAAGAAGGAAAAAGTTTGACATCTTTAATTATATATTTACATGAACATAAGTAGGTCAACATGAATGCCCTTTTCAGATAATCCATAATGCTCCAAAGTTGAGAATCCAAAAGGAACTCAAATGTGACTCCCACAACAATTGTTTACAAAAAAGGAAAGTCAAAAAACTTGCCAGAGGTTTACGCTCCTTGTCCTTGAAAATAATATCCTCCAATCATTTTGAATTTCATGCAAGCCTTTTTCTTTTGTCTTCTTTCTTTTCATTTTCTCCCCAGTACTCTCCAAAACTATTTCTAACATCAATTCTCTAAGTCTCCAAAGAAGCGGATCATCTCGACACTGAAGGCAGAACTGTTGGAAACACAAACCCAGAGCGGTGAGAAACATTTTCCATGTGAACAGGCACGAGATAGACTGGGTCCGAAGCATAGCATCAAGAGCATAGCATCACGGCCTGAAGAGAATGTGTCTAGAATCCCCTTTTCCAAGGAAGCAAATTCAATGATCAGAGACCCCTAGATCACGGGTCCCGAGGGGGGGGGGGCACCTACCCCGGCACCCACCCGCGCCGCGAAACCAAATCCGTCGGTCGCCAATATACCCCCTCCCGAGGCGTGAGGGGAGCATTTAAAGTGGGGGATGGCTTCCCATTCAAACCGCACTTAAGACCCCCCGCCCCTCGCAGGTGCGCCCACGGACCCGGCCCTAGCCTGCCCCCTCCCGCCGCCTGCTCCGACTCGCGCTACCGTCTCCCAGCGTTACGCCCCTTAACATCCATCCACATTTCACCATTCGTTCATCCATCCGTTGCGCACCGCCGAGGCCCCGACAGCGCTGGACTCACTGACTTTGTATCCGTTCCTGGCTCAAGCCACTGCTGCATATAAGCGCACGGCGTGCAAAATTTTGGGCATCGACAGAGCTTAATTCGGCCCGGCTCCTCCACATCCATCCAATTTGAGCCTCCGCGCACTGGTCGTGTAAAGGTGGCACTACTGTCTCTGAAACGTCTGTTATTCTCGATTCGGGGTTGGAGGAATCCAGTGTGAGATCGTTGCCTCGTGAGTTGCGCGAGGAGTTGGTGATCGTTATTGAGATTAGGTTCGAGATCCAGGGGGACGATGGTTGAGTGGCTTGAATCGTGAGTGCTGGACCGATGGTGCGTGAGTGAGATGGTGGCGTGGAGGCGTGGTGGCGCATGGGTTAGTTGGTAGAGGGTGCGTGTGGTAGTGTCGCATCTCTTGGGGTGCGTTTCGAGTGGAGGGCGTTTGCTGTGTGGAGTTGAGTTTGGGGAGAGCGAGTGCGGGCATATCAATGGCGGGGCAGAAGACTCCCACGAAGCGCCCCGGGAAGAGCAAGAATTCTTTCGGCGCTTACTACGAACAAGTGAGTATTCTGCCGCGTACTGTACTCACCAACGCCCGTGACCAGATCTGGTTCCGTGTCCAATCAATGTTGCTATGCCTATACTTTTAGATCTCTCCGGGTCCGAGCCTGTTGAACGCGGGACCAGGTCCTCAATCCGTGGTTGTAACGTTTGCTCCAGTGCATTGCCCGTCTCCCATGAGACATGACGCTTCTGCAGCGGCTAGCTCTGGTTCACCGTGCCCCTCGATTCTCCTTGTATTCTGTACGTCGGAATTCTTTGTCTGTTGTAAGCTTCAGATATTAAATTGCCAATATTTTCGAAGGCAGCTTTGTCACCTTCCTTTCTGCAGTAATTGTTTATTGGTTCCCGAAATCTTCACTTTTTATTATTATTTGAGTAGTGAAAGAGCCTAGTCAGTCATCGTGAGGTAGGTCCTCCTCTGACAGTGGAGAATCAATGCTGACGCATCTTGGTCATCATGGTCAAATACTGTCGGATGGTGAAGTTCCTCCACTCCTAGTGCTTCCAATTCACAGCAACCGTCTGCAACCTCTCCTCATCTGACTCACTCCTACACCTTGTGAACTATCCGTGCAGTTGTGTATGTGAACTCGCCTACCTTAGTCGTTTCCTCTCTTCAGTTGATTCGAGGAAGTAGGTGGTGGTAACTGTACAGGTAAAGTGAAGGCTCGTATGGTTAACAGTGTCGGTCCTGTTTCTTGAGTATATCGGTTTGAGCGCACATTCAATTCCCTCGTTCTGTCGATTGTTATACCTATGGGGCAGATTCTGGCTCGTCTATTCAATCGGTTTGGGCGCTACAAGAACCACCAGAAGATCCTCATGCTTGGTCTCGACGGCGCGGGTGAGTTTCTAGTCTTCAATTGCCATTTGTAGCTTATCCACAACTTGATTAATGGAGGTCCACTGTCTTGGTACACTTGTGGGTAATTGAAGGCGATTTGTGTTTGCAGGAAAAACTACTCTTCTCCGTAAAGTAACTGATCCTAGTACACCGCGCTTGACACAACCCACCGTAGGCTTTAACTTGGAGTCTGTAAGGCACAGAAACCTGACGCTAATCATGTGGGACGTGGGCGGTCAGGAGAAGATCCGCGCGCTATGGCACCACTATTTTATCAAGTCAAACGCCCTGATATTTGTAGTTGACAGCAGCGACTCCAGCCGCATCCCAGAGGCAAGAAAGGAGCTCCAGAAGCTGCTTCATGAGCCAGAGCTCAAAGATGCGAAGCTGCTGGTATACGCCAACAAACAGGATGTGCAGAATTGTCTCAGCTCCTCCGATTTGACTGACATGCTGGACCTATCATTGGTGGACGATCGGCAGTGGCATGTGCAAGCGTGCAGTGCTAACACCGGGAAGGGAGTGTATGAAGGTCTTGATTGGCTGGCCGACGCCTTGAAGCCTTCTTAAGCTTACTACCTTCGACTTTCATTATCTCCGACATACTGCAGACAGTTTGTTTGAATTGTTCAGCTATGGCGTCCTCCCTACGAAGACAGAGCAGCTACGAGTTTTATCAAACCTCAAGGCTTGGCTGAAGCTACTGAATTAGCTTTTTTGAGTCTAGGGAAGCGATGCTGAGTAACCGTGTTCTTGATTAACACGGCAGCATGAGCTGGGGTTACTGAAACAGATTGAATGGAGCAAATCATGTCCTCCTTCCCCTTCTCTCGGTGTTAATTTATTTATTTTTGTTTCGGTGGTTTTTGAGAGCTTCAGGAATAGATGCCTGTTGCGGGTTAGCCTCTGCACCATCATGTGTGGGTTGTGATAAAATTTTGAGGCCTGCAAGATTGGATTGCTGGGTAGAATGCAGGATTAGCTTGCCGCAGTGATCAATCAATTCCTTTGTAAAGTATTTGATCCTCTCTTGTGAATACTTTTCAGTTCATCATGCTATTTTACCAAGCATGACATTTGTGCGGTCATTTGGTTCAGTAAACGAGTTTTCTTTCTTTCGCACACTGCCTCTGGCTTGTGATTGAGCTTTCTGTCAGATGTGGTCAGGCTTACATGGCATTTTGATTACACGCGTACGCAAGCTGTGTGTACTGTGAACTAGCGAGGCCCTGTAGATCGACAATTGGTGTGCCCAGAATTGCTTGTCTGACATTGTTTGGTATGGTCCTCTCCTGATCTTAGTACGTACTCCATCATATATAGTCTGTGAATGAAGTAATTGTCTCGGTTGAAATGATTATAATGCGTTTGTTCAGTGGCTCGTCAATATAGTAATGGCAGAAAGATGTTACAAACACTCTTCTTTGCCTCTGTTCACTGGCGTATTGCGGAGCAAGCTTGTAGTTTACGAAGTTGACTTGGGTATCGGCATCTCATTTCTCTGGCTTCAAATATTATGAGAATTGATGCTCTCTTTGATTAGGAGGCTGATGACACCGGAGTGGTTGATGTAACCTTAAGGGCCCATCTGAGTGAAGCGGCATGTCAAATGTCAGTGGGGGTTGTTTACTACCACAAGTCAGTCGTGTGCAGTCGTGGGGTCCTTGTGAACAGGGAGCGAGTATTGTGGCTCTTCTAGAGTTTTTGTATGCTAGTCTATAACTCAAGATAGACAGCTCTACAGTGGAGTGGACCCTTGATTCATGCTGCGAGTGAGTGACAAGCATGCGCTAGCCGCTTTCTTTCGCTTGGGAATCTCCAAGGACATTCGTACAGAAAGTATACGTAAATATGTAACAGGAATCTTGTCTCATTTACTTACACAATTCTTTTTAACCTAGTCCTTGAAGTTCCATACCAGGAAACCGAACTACTCAACAATTGCTGTATTGCACCTGGTTTTCAAGGTAAAAAATTAACTCTGACGCCATGTTGCAATCGTCAATATCTCCGTCACAATTTTTTAAGAAATAAACCAAAAACATTCTTGACGGGAAATACCTTCTGTTTAACTGTGTAGACTGTTCATACTCATCGCAAGTTTCACACACGTCAATCACATCTTACACGATTCAGTATCGGCAAATGTAAAATTTGATGGAAATAGAAAGGATTCCATTTCCTAGCTGAATGCATTTGTACTCTCATAGCATTTATTGGCTTCTTTTCCTTCCGACCGCGTTGATTTCGTCAATCTCAAGGAACCGGTCTGGCCCGTCTGCTCCCAGGTGCTTCAGGTTCCTGTCTCAAGATGCAACCTCTCATGACCGACTTGTATCACAATTCTCCCCGTCCAACCCTGAATTAGAGTTCCATCGTCTCTGTTTTGTGAAGTTTTTCGGTGCAGAAGAAGAGAGGTTGTCATGGGGTCCGAGCTATATTTGGATAAGCATGTCGACTACATCAAGTCGCTTGACAAGGTAGGCCTTGCTCGGTTGCTTGTGGGCTCTGCTTTCCAATCAGGAGGAAGTGAATGTTCGTATGGGTATAACAAGATGGGACGTGGAAGTAGGTTGGAGGAATTGGTTGTTGGGTTGAATCAGATTTTAGGGTTTAGGGTTGGTTTTAAACAGAGGGTTGGAGTTTTTGATGGGTTGTTTTGCGATGGGATGCGAATCTTTTGTAGAAATCGGATTTCGACTCAGTGGTGATGGAGCACCTGCGCATGAACGGCGCGTACTGGGGACTCACGGCGTTGGATATTATGGGACGCCTTGGTGATATGAAGGTCGATGAGATCGTGCCTTGGATTCTCATGTGCCAGGATGAGTGCGGTAGTCATCCCCTCGATCTACTGCTTGATTCATTGTTTTGGTTAGTTGTATTTGGTTCTTGTAGATATTAGTGTATTGTCATAAGCATTTGAGGTTGTGCACTTGGAGATGTCGATTGCCTAGTTTTTGGATGTGAGGAGGAACATTGTGTTCGAACCTGCTTAAGTTTTGTAATTGAAAGCTCTTCATTGCTAGGAGTATATCTGTAGACATGGTATTGAATAATGATACTAATGTCTCTTGCAGGAGGTTTCGGAGGAAACCATCAGCACGATCCGCACATCCTGTACACGCTGAGTGCTGTACAAATTCTGGCATTGTTTGACAGGCTTGATGCCGTGGATGCAGATAAAATTGCAAATTGTATCCTGAATCCCCAGCTTTGAAAAATAATAGGTTTTATTTTCTCTTGCAATAGTCTTTCTTGATCATGATACTTTAGTTGCTAGCTCTCAATTAAGTAAGGCTGCACGTCAGGGTCGCATGATTGAGAGCTAGTGAACTTCTGTGTACAGTGTGGATTTATTTTGTGAAAGTTCATTATGAACGTGATTAGTCTTGGAAGTCATTTTCCAACAACCTGAATGCATATCTTGCGAGTTAAATTATAACAGAATTCTCCTAGTTCTTTTTAGAATTCCTTAACCCAAAAGAGTGCAGACATTGCAGGACTACAGAATGAGGACGGATCCTTTTCTGGCGATGGATGGGGGGAGATCGACACCCGGTATGCTCTACCTTCAGTCCCAGGTGCTATTTCTGCTCTCTCCCTGGTACATGCTTGGGAGGAGTTGCATTCATGGCATCTGGGCATTAGTTGCACGTCATTTATTCCTCGACGTATGTCAAGCGGTGTTGCTGTATATTTATTTATCGTAGAAATCAAAGTCAGCGTCAAAGCCAAGTGCAACGTTGTGTTGTTGGATATTTTTTTATTCTAACTTTGTGCATTTGATTTTGTGGAACAGATTTTCTTACTGTGCAATCTGCTGCCTTTCTTTGCTGAAGCGACTCGACAGGATTGATTTAGAGAAGGCCTGCAATTTTGTTGCCAATTGTAAAAACTTCGACGGTGGTTTTGGTTGTGTTCCTGGAGGGGAATCCCACGCTGGTCAAAGTGCGAGCCTGAACTTAGTTCTGAGTTAGTTTTGGACGTAGGTTTCAGATCATGATCGTGAGGCCAGGTTTACTTTTCCTGATCATGCTTCTAATATCAATATTTTACGCTGTGGTTTCAGTATCTAAATATGTCGAATTTGTTCTCATCAATTGAGTTGGGTTGTTGCAGTTTTTTGTTGCGTAGGAGCACTTGCAATAGGCGGTGCTCTCCATCATGTTGATAGAGACTTACTCGGTTGGTGGTTGGCTGAACGTCAAGTGAAAGCGGGAGGTCTCAATGGTCGTCCAGAGAAACTTCCGGACGTGAGTTTTCATAACTAGGAATTCGAAATAGTTGGAATGTTATTAACGAGGGCCTAAATGACCGTCTACAATGCTGAGATCTGAATAGTATATTTTATCTTTCCTGTTATTATTACTACATCCCTTTGCATGGTCGAATAATCTAGTAAAAGATGCATGTTTTTCAGTAACAGCGTCAAAAATTCATAAGCCATGTTTGTTACAGTATAGATAAGCGGTGGAAGCGTCATGGACTGTATGTCTCGAAGCTTACAATTTGGCTTGGTGGTTTTTTTTTCCAGGTTTGCTACTCTTGGTGGGTCCTTGCTAGCTTAGTTATGATGGACCGGATGCACTGGATTGATAAGAAAAGTCTCGAGCAATTTATCCTTGATTGTCAGGTTTGGTCCCTCTCCCCTTACCATTGTGGCACATTTTTTTGTAGTCTCCACAATCATACTCAACTTCGACAATCCTCAATTTTTTTAAAGTGTGCCAGTCCTCTTTTTAACATGGTACTGCTTCCAAGTCATTTTTATGAGTACTGCTGGAAACTTGATTGGCCATGTTGACGTTTTATTCAGTTGGTTTCATTATTAGGACTTTTTTTGCGCGCAGGATCCTGAAGCTGGGGGTATATCTGACAGGCCAGATGACGCTGTTGACGTTTTTCATACTTTCTTCGGCATAGCAGGTGCTAAAACGTTCATCTCATATTCCAGCTGACGAGTTACTTACTTTTGTTCTTTATCCTTCATTTGATTAACTCATGAGGTCCACGATGCCTGAGTGAGTGGTGCATATTGCAGTTATCATTGAGGGTAGGAGAGGTGGCTCATATTTCGTTCGAAATTCTGGGAAGCAGGGATGGGTTCTGATTGTATGGTGTTTCTGAGCAGGATTGTCTCTGCTGGGGTACCCAGGGCTTCAGGCAATTGATCCTGCTTATGCACTCCCAGTCACTGTAGTGGACAGAATATTCTACGGTCAGAAGAAATAACCGCCAACCTCTCAGCTTCCACTTTCAGAATCCTTTTTGAGGAGATTATCTAAAATCTTTTAGAAAATATATAAATATAAATATAAATATATATATTGCAGCGGTTTGCAGACAGGCTTGTGTTACAGCGAGGCCATTCATTCATGTATAAAGTAGCCGTACATCTACTTTTAGCAAGCTGTGTCGATTCTTTGCACAGAACTAGTGGTTTAGATTCAACAATCGACACTGATCATTCAAAGCATTGTCTGGACAACAGAAGAACAGGCCAGGATACTTTTACTATCTTTCATTTTATTTTAATACCCTTCCATTTTAAGCTGCTCTGTTTCGGTTATTGTCTTTGGTTCTACTTGGATTTTTTTTTTTTTTTTTTTTTTTTTTTTTTTTTGAAATTAAGCTTGCCTTTTGTTATTGAGTTTCAAACCTGAAAAGGTAATATTGCCATTTCTAATTTTTAGTAGGGTCTCACTGAACAATTACCTAGAGCACCTAAAATGGTGCCACTCTTATTCTCAATGAGTTGTTTCCATAAGCATTTTAATTCTTTTGTAAAATGTAAATATAATTGTGCTTTCCTTCCTTTGCTGAGTTAAAAAAACAAAAGGATCTGCAATAGGAGGAAGCAATTCCATCTTATTTCTAAGACCAAAATGAGGAGATTAATTATAATAGGAAGGAAATGTAAAAGCTTTCTTTGAAATGTTTCTAATGATGCAAAGATATCATACACATAATAATAATAATAATAATAATCATAATAATAATAATCTCTTAAATATATACAGGTAGATATGTAACATGTATTAGTTCAAGAGACTAAATTCATATTTTAAGCAGGAAACATTGCTTTAAGAAAATTGGGGTTCTATCATTAATTACCCGAAATTTAAAAAAGTTCTGTGGAAAATTGAATATTAAAAGCACATAAAATTTGGATTTATTCTATTTAAAAATTCATTCGAAAAATTATGATATATATATATATATATATATATATATTTATTGCATGTAACCATATATTGTTAAAAGTTTAATTTGTACATGCTTATTACTAATACACACTTTCTATATTATCACTTGTAATATTTTTAATTCATTCAATTTTTCTATATTTCTAAATTCAATTATTTTATAACTTATTTTTTTACCTTGGCTTTTCTTTATAAGTTGTGCAATTGTGTATGTGAGTATATATATATATATATATAACATTCTTAACATCATTATCTTTTAAAAAAATTAAATGCATCTAATTCTTTCAAAAATAAAAATTAAAAAATTTTATTTTAAATAATATACAAGATAAAAATAATTTATTTTTGTTGTTAAAGTTTTTGTAGTAAGGATTAGTGACATATAATACATGTTCAAATATATCTATAAATTACATAATTATTAAAACATGATAAAATAAAATCATATTATTTAAAAATTACTAAATGAATTTGTTTAAAGACTATTTTTGATGAAAACTACTTTTATTTGTTTACTTGTTTTAAACAACTTTGTGTGCTTCACATTTTCTTTTTGTTCAATCAAATTTCCAAAGATATTTGAATTCAACATGATCACAAATATTTTGATTCTTCCTATAGTTGCTCATTGATTATTGTAAAACAATCCATGAACAATTTTGGAGTTAACAAAAATTGCCGATAGGGATATTAAAAGATCCATGCTCTTGTCATAGATATACTTAATTACCTAGATAAGAAATGTTAGGTAGAAAATAAATGTAGGTAGATTTGATAATATCTTATAGTGAAACTTCTTAGAAACTATACAAATACAGATTTGATTTTATATGCATTAGTAGTTCATTGGTAGATTAGAAACTTAGCCAACAAGTTAGCCATGTATTCTACATATTGGTGGCTTCTAGTACAAGTTGACCATATGACACATGTATAAGAAACTTGTCTTGCAAGTTAGACATGTGTTTGAAGTCCTAAAGAATGTGCTACATAGCTCCTACTTAAATAATATATATAGAAGTAAGAGTAAAGTTTTTTTCATTCTTATAAATGTCTTTCTTGTTCTTAATTAAATTTTAAGAGTCTCTAATCTTCTAATCTTTGGCAATAGCTATTTCAGTTCAAATATCATATTATTTTTGGATAAATATCTACTCTTTTTGAGTGACAAAAGAATGTATTGAAGTTTTTATTGTTTGTGATTTATATCCTTCACAACTCTTTAACTTATAGAAAAAAAATCTATATTAAATTTTTCATAGAACAAATTAAAATATATTTTATTACAAATAAATTTATATTATATTAATATTTATTAATATAAACATATATTTTTATTAATCATTTTTGATAAATATGAGATAAAAACCATATTATATTAATTTTTATGTATTTTTTTTAATAATATCTTATCAAGGACAAAAATTAAAAATATAAATATACAAATAAAATATTTTTTAATAATCTATATATATATATATATTTGAAATGGCTATTAATAAATATTAGAAAAATAGAGACTCTTAAAAGTAAACTAGAAGCAAGAAAGGAGTTGAAAAACATGAAGAAGGCTTTATTACATGACAACTTTCAATAGGACCTCTAACACATGTTCAACTTGTAAGACTAGTTTTTTACATAAGTGTTACAAGGCAACCTTGTAACATAAGTTATCAACATGTATGCTACATAGTCAACTTGTTGGCTAAGTTTACAACTTATTAATTACCTATTAATACATAAAAAGTCAATTTAGTGTCAATAAAGCTTTTAATAAGCTTTTTCATATGATGTTATCAAATCTACTTATTTCTACTTAATTCTATCATTTTTTTTTAATCTTTATATATATGTAGATTGATAGATATATCCATGACTTTATCTTCATTTTTTAAGAACAAATTCTATAGAGAGTAGTCATCACATGTTGAAAAAGTCCAAGATGCAATGAATTGTATTTGCAACATACTTTGATCTTTGTTCTTTTTCAAGGTAATTAATAGGTCCTCTCAACTATTGATAATATCTTATACAAGGGTGTGAAGTCTACTTTGATATTTGAACATTGTTGAGGCTTTTGTATCTTCTTTTAAACAAGATATTTGAAACACCATTAGAAATTGTTCCTAGCTCCAATAATATTACCAAACATTGAGAGTCTCTTCTTAGATCATGGTATCAAACATGTTGTATCTCACTATCTATTTGAAAAAGAGCATGTTATTTTTAATTCTAAAAATATCAAAAAAATTAAACACTAATTTTTAATTTATTACTTTTTATGCTATTTAACCAACTTTGTTTATAGTATAATATAAGATAATATAAAAGAATAAAAATCACATAAATTCATAGAATATGCTTTGAATATAACAAAATACAATTGAGGTTGCAGTCAAAAATTAAAGTTTGGATGATTTTAACTTTAATCTTTTTATTCTTATTTAAAAAAAATTAGAATATATATATATATATATATATATATATATATATTCTAAAAGAATGGGATTAAGATAATGTGTACAAAAAGCATTAACTACCTCAATTTTCCTTTGTTCAAATTAATTATTATTTATGTAAGGTTATTATTATTATTATTATTATTGTCTTCACATAAGATGCACTCAGGTTGTACCAATAGAAAAAGTACTCTGTTCAACTGCCTTTTAGATCAAAATAATAGACTCGTGGTGCATCCAAATACAAAGTCTGCAAAAAAAAAATCACACCCTATCCAGTACTGTATAAATACTTTTATTTTTTTTATTTTTAAAAATACAATAAAGCCTTTCAAAAGATATGATTCTATACGTCCACCACAACTATTACTATTTTTTACATTTTAGCAAAGTCTTACAAAACTAGGTGATTCTAATGAATTCCATGCAATATGTATATATATATATATATATCGACGCATGTACACACACATGTTGCAATTCACCTAAAACTACTGAATAATTAATTAATTGATTACTTGTGGAGTGGAGTTTGGAATGTTGTGGAGATAATATTATTCTTTTTAATTATAAAATATGAAACTGTTTGCTTTCAGAACGCATGAAAAAGGCGATGTCGTCGACGACGGCGAAGTATCGGCGGAGCCATTTGTGGCGGAGGATCGCCGAACACGAAGCGGAGGCGAAGGTCCGTCTCGCAAAACCAGAGCGAAAGGGAGGCTCCCGGATTTCGCCCAATATTAGACCACCCTGGATTCGGAAGGTCGAGGATCGTGCTCTTGGGTTGCAAAATTTACCTCGTTATCTCCCGCTCTCGAGGAGTAGGAGAATAACGGTATTTAGGCTGAACGGCGAGGGAAATAGGAAAACAGCATGAGGACGGTTCATGCAGAATTTAGAACCCCGGACAACGCAAAGACAAATAAAAAACATATATCGTACCAGACCCACGAGTAAAACAATGAATAACACTTGGTCGAGGAAGATTTAATGTGGGCGATGCTCAATATTTCGGATTTTCCACATCTGGCAGAATTTTTGCAGCCATGGCTGTGACAGAGCATGACTGGGGGGAGACTGCGGGGTCAAATTTCGAAGGAAGAAGAGGGTGGTCCATGGGATGATTTTGTGGGTTGCTGTGGATTCGTTGGAAATGTTATCTGAAAGATGGGTATTTAATTCTGATAGTGGGTTATTTTTGGGTTGTGTGAAGTCTCCAGAGTTGCGGCATTGACTGCGTCCGCGCTAATAAATGGGGCCGGTAGGCGGGGAATCGAAACCAGCGCTTTGATTGTCTGGTGCGGTGCCATCTGTTAGTCCCTGCTGTGTTGCAAATCTCCTGGACCCCACCGGCCATGTTCTACATGTGAGAGCCATGACTTTTTCAGGCTCTTTCTGGTTCATGGAGCTTGCTGATGGTGGTGGTGCTGCTCCTGGTGCTGCTGATGTTCCTGGGCAGATGGAGAGAGTACGGGTTTGACGATAAGGGAATGGGCTTTTGATGCCCTGTTGGCTGTACTTCTTGGCCCTGTTTTGGTAGCTTCGAGTGTTTCATTTTCCCTTTAGGTATAACTGCGTTCTCTGTGTGTATTTTGTGTGTTGGTGTGTGTTTTTATTATACTTTTTCTATTTTTTGTTTTCCATTTTTTTCCGTGGCTTAGCCGGAGAAAGTGAGCTGGCATGGAAGTCATATGATGTACTTTGGATGACTGGTGGTGAGCTAGAGGCGAGAAAGAAATGCGTGTTGAATTGCTCAAGATGAGTAGACAAAAGATTCTTTTTTTCTCCCTGAGCAAGGAGAGTGAGAACACAACCGGTGCCAGTTTGTGTGATGCGAGGGTTGGTGTTGGAGACGTGAAATTCGAACACCTCGAGGTCAAACGTGAGAATCCTGGATCAATAGCAATAGTTCACGAGAGCGAACTTAGAGTGCTGTATGGCGATGGCGAGGGCCAGGGTTCTTGTTTGTTTGGACGGTTCCGCATATCTCTTTGAAGAGCTCTTGCGATCATTGAATTTTCACCTATGTTGTTGCGATCCGTGTTGTGCGATACAACCGGTTCACGCTTTCCTCATTCTTCATTGTATATTCGGCTGCCCCAGTTTTTTTTTTTTTTTTTTTTTTTTTCTTGGGAAGGGAGTCTTTGGTGTACTAGTTTTGTTGGTTTTGTCAGCAAAGTGTTGCTGAATGGCACTGTCTGGTATCGTCGCAGTTTGGCCCTGAAGGCTGCTTCATTGCAAGGTGTCACGGTATTCTTCCAGACTGATTTTGGAATTACGTAGGTTTTTTATGTGATCAATTTCCATGGAAGACTTGATTCTGAGAGCTTAAGGGTCAGGAGCTTTCTGAAAGCGCTCTTGCTGCACGCTTAGAGAATAATACGAATCCGCAAGCTGCAAATCTGGCTATTTGGTGTATATGGACTTCCTCTTGGATTGGTATGGTTAGTAGGTTGTGACGTGTGTGTTCTTACTAAGAACGTATCCTTAAAAAAACGTGCGCACGTTTCAACAAGAGAGGTTTGCATCAGGCTTCGATGTAAAGCATTTGTGCGAGTCGCAAAGACACTTACCATAAGTCCCTGCAGCATTTCTCACTCCTACGATGGGCATTATTTGTTTTAGGGCTCTGTTTCATGCTGCATCTGTGTTGGCAATTTCGCTCTGTTATTAGACAATATGTCGTGTATGGCTGGGAGAATAAAGTCTGTAAGGTGAACTCTCTGCAATCGAGAGCAAAATTCTGTGGTTTAAATGAAAACGATGATAGCCGGGTTGATTTGTGATTTTTGTCTCACATCACGACGAGACTGAAGTTTGACCCAGTCGTGATCGGATTCACTTATAAATTTGATAAACCTCGAAGTTGCTGTAGGGTGTTGCGAAGAGAGACAGAGTGTGTGTGGTAGAGTAAGGCGCTGCAGAGTGTTTTGGGTTGTAGCGTCGTGTGCATTTAAGTCTTTAATCAATAGAAGAATTTGCCTAAAGCTTACAATTGCCTCGATCATCATGTTCATGTGTATTTGTAGAGTTCTTTCCTTAAAATGGGTTGCTTTGTTCTTTATTTGCAGAGATTTGCCGAGAAGTTTTAATAATAAACATTAACAAGCAAAATGGGCAGCCGGAGAGAAGATGAAAAAAATGAAGCCACCATACGACGTCTGCTCAAGCTCCCGGAGAACAAGAGGTGCATCAACTGCAATAGTTTGGTCAGTTTCCTCATTCACATTCTCTTAGGCATGTAAATATATGTAAATAAATTAGATTCGATCTTAAAAATAAGAATTTCTACTGTAAGGATCTGATGAAGATTGAGAGTGTTTTTTGATATCGCTCGAAAATGCTAAACATCTTTACTGATTACAATTTTTCTTAATTTAATTGAGGAGGCGTTTCTACTGTTGCTGTTTGTCAGATTCTACTTTTGAACTTTTGGGTTTCTAAAGTTCTCGCATATTGCAGTTGACCCTCTTTCTTGTTTATAAATCTTACAGGGACCGCAGTATGTGTGCACAACTTTTTCCACCTTTGTGTGCACGCAATGTAGTGGCATTCAGTAAGTTTTCAATCACAGAATTTTTCGTATGTTTTCAATCGCCAGTTCAGTGCAAGCGTGGAGCCTTTTGCTCTTGGTCAAAATCTAAACAGGGTATAGTGGGTCCTTCTATGTTTGCCAAATTTACCAAGCTTGCTGTACACTTTTCTAATTGCAAGAAGGTTGTAGTCTTGTGAAGGCAATTACTGTTTATAGTGTGCAGTAGGGTTGGACATAGTTGGCTATTGAGAGAAGATGATATCCATGTCTTGTTTTTGCTAGTGTAATACACAGGTACATGGAGTCCGAAGTTTGCTTAAATGTTGTGGTATTCGTAGAATTTGTTTCATGCAAAATGGCATATCATGTTAGTAAGTAAGTATTTTTCATCATTATAAGGGAGACTTCGAAAATGCCCTGATGGATTAGTAATGCTTTGTATGTGCAGTCGAGAATTTTCACATCGCATAAAGTCGATTTCTATGGCAAAGTTTAATGCCGCTGAAGTTGCCGCTCTGCAAGCTGGTGGCAATGAGGTACATCCAAGAGGGATATTGTGGCAGCTCGAGTATTGTGACTATGTGGGTTTAGTGGGAAGGTCGGAGGCTGTTTGCTAGCAAAATGACTGGCGCACTCCAAGCGTAGTTGTCAGTCATCCCGTAACATTACTCAATTGTTGTTTCTTAAACCTTCTTGCATTGAATGAGCAATGCACTAATATGCTTTCTCGGACGTTTGTATTTCTCCTGACAGCGGGCTAGGCAAATTTTCTTTAAAAGTATGGATCCTGCCTCGATCTCTCTTCCTGACAGTGGGTACGTCTTACCTGACTTGATTGCTATTTCAATCATGTTTTTTCTCGAATTAAATTGACGATTTCTTAGCTGATCGAACTTCATGTTTCCAGGAGTCCTGATAAGCTACGCGATTTCATCAGGCGAGTATACGAGAAGAGACTTTACACAGGGGATAGGCCTCCTAATGCTCAGCAGGTTAGTTTGTGTATTTTGACGCATCAATTGAGATAGGCAGGTTTTACGTGGCAGGACTTCATATCCCAACTGAATGCAATAGACTGACTGGCAGTATACTGTGTTCAAATGTTTCTCTAAATCTGAGACGGTTCGACCTTGGCAGGAAGAAACTGCCGCAGAGTTACGCCGGCCTGATACAAAGATGGAACGGCAATCTGATTTGCGAAGCCACTCATTTGATGACCAGGTGGGTGACAAGGGTACAGTGAATAGGCGCAAATCAGATTTCGACCGAAGTTCAGTAGGTAACAGGGGCAGTGCCAAAAATCTAGGTGGTCTTCAGGGAGTCCCAAGGCCAACTCGCCACAGTTATGATGAGAGCTATGAAGAGCAATCACCAAAAAGTAACAGTGATCGCGACAGGCGCAATTTATCTCGACCATTCAGTTTCAAAGACTTTGACATAACGCCTCCGCCTGTTCAGTCAATCACAGATATTTTGGGAAATATTCCAGGATTACGTGTTGAAGTCATTAAACCTTCAAAAGGGGAGAACTCTCCGGATCATTCTAAGGGGTCTGCGGTAGGCGTTCTTCCTGGGTTAAAACCGATGATTAATAGTTGTGCTTTCATGTGTTCATTTCACAAGCATCAAGCATAAGCGGTTGGTAGCTATCTTGTGCAAGGATAAATGCTCCAATCTGTTAATATTGTTAATTTCCTTTACTTTGGTGTTCTTCAATGCTCAAGCTATTCTGTGCTCCTTTTTACCAAGCTATCGGTTTTAGGGAGTATGATGTCAGTTCTGCGAGTAATAACAAGCAGTTTCACCAGGTTGATGCGCGCAAAGCATTACAATCTCAGAGTTTTGGAGCTGTAGGTGACGATAGAGTAACTCCGGCTCTAGATTACAAGAGGGTAAACTCAGCCAGTTTGATCGACATCAATAGCGGAACTGGAGCAACAGCAGTCCCACGTGGGTTTGAGGATCCCTTTGCTGAAACTTCTCAAGTCTCACCCACGACCGGTCCCAGCTGGGCTACGTTCAATACATCTCCCACCCCGCCAGCCCCACCTGGTTATCCTAGTTCTACAAGTGAGACTAGTCAATTGGTTGAGTCCGGATGGGGTCAACAGACGAACAGTCTGGACTCTTGGTCAAGTTTTGGTTCACCAAGTCCCTCTCAGGTTAGAAACTCTCACAAGGTGTTAGCCTGGAAGCAGCCTCATGATTGACTCACTGTCACTTTTGACTTTGAGAGACAGCATTCAAAGATCATCCTGCACTTGGAGTCGTCGAAATATCTGTTTTGGGTACATTTGTACTAAGTTTCTGCATTTTCTTACTGGCAGGCGGCTCTCAAGCAGGAGCACGTTGTATCTCATAGCACATCAGATGCAACGCAACCCACAAGGCAGAGGCGTCAGCTTCCTCAAGTACAGCTTCTTTTATGCTCTCCCTTCGTTTATATTATGGCAGATTCACTCTTCTTCTTCTTCTTCTTCTTCTTCTTCTTCTCTCTCTCTCTCTCTCTCTCTCTCTCTCTCTCTTGCTCGTTATTGAGATAAATACTCCTAATATTTATCTGCTACTCAATATGTTGAAAACGTGTTTATGGATAACTTCGATTGCTTTCAGCATCATAGTATTTTCCATGAAGCTGTGTTCTAGGAGTACTGTGTGTCACTACTGCCGATATTTGTTTAATGTCAGCAGTTCTGTATGTGAGATGGGGCGTAAGTATTGCAAGGGGCGAATAATGCAACTGTTTTGATGCCATGTAGGATTTTTTTGCGCCCTCATTTGAAGATGTTCGTTCATCTAACTTGGATATGCATCGACCCCATCAAATGCGTCCTGCTTTCCATGCCCCACAATTAGATGCTCCTCTTGAAGCTTTTTATGCAACGGTAAATCATTTTCCATCATGTGCGTTAGCTTTGCTGGTCTATGCGCAGAGCTCTGGGTGCTGATCTTATTATTGAGTTAATGTAATGCACTGAGATTTTTTAATTTTTTTCTTTGACAATTGTTATAAAGAACCAACTGAATTTGTGAAACATTGGTGGTATTTCACTTCACTTGAGAAGCATTTTGTTACTGCTTGTGAAAGTCTGGGTTTATTACACTTTGAATTTTTTCGTCGTCTTGAAAGCAAAGCTTAGTAAGGTGACAATCAGGTGAAGATTAATATTTTTTCCTTCCTGTTCATCAGCCTCCGTCATCATCAGTTCAAACTCAAGGTCCAGTTCAATTCCAGTTTCCCCCTCAAATGCAGTCTCCAGATCCGTCTCAACAAACTCCAACGCAAAGGTCCCGAAATCCATTCGATGATGATTTCGAGGACGATTCTTCAGCAAGTGTGACCTCTAGTGTCGATGCTGGTTTTAGTTTTCAGGTGCAACATAATTCTTGAGCGTTTTTAGTATTCTTCAGTTCAGTTCTTTTTGAGTCAGCAATTCCGCAATTTCTTGTTATTAGAGGATTATTCAGTTGCTTAAAGGTCGTAGCTACCGACAAGCAAGCTCTACCCTTGTCGTATTTTAAAGATATAATGTTCTTCGACGTCTGTCATCGCTTGTAATACCTTCGTTTACAGCTTGGTCGTTGTATGCAATTTTCGTGGCAGTTTCCAAATATGGATTCACTACTAGGAGCATTACCACCACCGACTGGTGGTGTTTCTACTACGGAGGCTGTCCCGCCAAGCTTTCCACAGACTATACCAACCAATGCGGCTACACATGACTGGGCACATTCCTTCTCGCAGTTTCATGATCATTCTTTTCCTCCAGGATCTCTTAACTTCGGCTCAGATCAATCGACGTCACCTAGCCCTGTGTTTTCAACGTAAGTTTTCCTGCTGGATTAGTACTGCTTCAATTCCGTATTATGAAATATCTCTGCTACCTGTACTAGTTGTTTTGCGTTTTGGCGAAGTTTAGAGATGTTGAAAAGTCAAGATGCTTGTTCTCTTCAAATTTGATGCTCATTCTAACATATTTATGTAACTCACGCGTTGCAGGCAGTCGAATGTTTCTGGAGGATACATATCCACTCAACCCCTTGGTCAAGACGGTCCTTATCCCAACAACCAATTTTTCTCACAAAACGTTGTCCGCCCCGCTGGTGGTGTTAATCCCTTTGTTTAACACTGAACTGTCACAGTGGCTGTCTATTACCCGTCAGCACTCGATTCCTGGATGAAGCTCAGGAGCATAGTAAATATCTGTGCACTCCTCTTTGGACATTTTGGAACTGTAATGACTGGAGTTGTATTTGATAGGTAGGAGATGGATGCTAACCATTTTATTTCCGGGGAGCGTTGTATTCAGGACCCTTTAGAAAAAGGTTAGCTTTTTGGCTTTGTACTGTAAGGTTCGACTTTGCTACAATGTCTAGGCTCAACATTGATGCAAGGTCACAATATAGACATGATGGGAAATACCCTTTTCCTGAAGTTGTTATTCATAATAGGTGACATTTGAGTTGATATCCCCAAGAAGATAGTGGGATGCAATTCCTGTGACTAAGAACCACCCTGTTGATTGTTAGACTTTGATTGCTTCTGATCCAAGTGATATTTGTTGCGGAGTCAGCTGACATTTTAATTTTATGTTTTTGGCTTAGTGTACAAACTTTTGCATTCTTTTAGAGGAGATTTACCAGGTTTACCCCTGCTTGTGCTGTTGCTCAAAACAAGTTATTTCGGTGGCTATGCGACTCCAGGTAGCGTCACAGCATGTTCCCAAGTTCTGCACTCATGGCGGGACTCAACTCTTATTGGCTCTCAAATTATCAGATGATAGATGCAGGTGCCCACTTGCACGTATTCTTTGAAATCAAACTGCTCTCGACATTGAGATTGAATCACATTTGTCAATAATGTGAATTTACTTGGTACACTAAAAGAATATGAAGTAATCCGTTGGATAAATTGAGTGAATGAAAGTGTTCGAATGCCACACTTCACTTTGCTTAGGCAACACAGAGTAGCTACAGAAATACCAAATGAGCAATGAAATGGCATGAAATTTTACATGATTTTCAATGGAGATGTTCAACGTTCTTTTACATCTAGTGGCAAAGAAATTTACGTAAGTTGTTTTAATTGATTGTGGGATGCTTGTTAAATCGCCTTGTGGTCTATAATGTCGAAGTGCCCATATTATGTTTGTATAATTTTTCTATTCTAAAACAAGTCATTGTTCTTTTTAAACTTCTAATTATTGTTTCTTAGTTACAATTTTTTTTACAATGGTTGCATTAAACACGTAAAAGCATTGTAATTACATGCGATGGAGGCCTCACTTTGTTCTTAAAGAAGTATGTTACAGACATTGACACTAAACTTAACATTGATAACAAGTTGTATTATAATATACAATACAACAATGAATTTTAATGCAAAAGAGATTACTAAAACCACATAAGCATATTTTATTCACAAGAAGATAAAATATAATAATGATGAAGAAAAATTAACTCACATTTGCCAAAACAAACTATAACAAGCTATCTTTTATATAAATTCATTGGAACTTGTCATTGTTTGAAAAGTCATTCAATTCAATTTCTTTGACACAACTCACTATACTTATGATTGTCCAATCAAAGCTAGCTTGTCAAGTGAATTTTCCACCTATTAACATTAGAAGTCCACATTGGATTGCTAAAATGCATTGCTTTGGATAATATTAGAGTGCATATAGGATATTTAGAGGCAACTTTTGATTAGTTTTGGTCTTCAATTAAAGTTATAAGAAGATGTTCATAGTAATAAGATTAATATTTTAGCAATTATAAAGTTTTTTTAATATAAATTTTATTTTGTACAATTTTTTTTAATTATATATATATATATATATATATATATATATTTAAGTGTGTGTGTATATACATATTGTTTTTTTCTTTAATGGAAGGGATCAATTACCTTGGCAATCTACACCACTCATCTTTGAAAATGACATTTCTTAGTGTCTTTTTATTAAATTATTGTGAGATTTTAGAAGTAGAAGCATCTATAAGTTTTTTTAATGGAATATGTTTTTTTTTTAAGATTTGGAGTAGAAATGAATATTTGAATTTTTTTGGAGTGAGGGGATTGGGTGCCTTGGCAACTCTAATCACTGAATTTTGAAGGAAAATATCTTGCAGCTTCTTTGTTGTGTTGCTATAAGCGTTTTTGGTAGTTAAGTTTTATAAAGCCAGGATTTTAACAAGGCATAAATTATTAAATTTCGAGTCTACTTGAATGTTTTGCAATTTTTGGAATAGAAGGGGTTGCTTCTTTCAAGCAGACTACAGTCAAGGTTAGTTATTTCCATCCATTCTATCATTTACTTGATATTTATATATTAATATTCATTTTTGTATTTTGAATTATGGCTTTGATTCTTCTTCTTATTATTTTACTTTTATTTTTATTTGTCTTTTCATTTTTACACATATAGAATTCTTTAGATACTAAATAATTCAATCATTTATGTTTTCTATGATTTATCTTAGGAGTTAATTTATAATATATATATTTTTAATTTTTATCTAATTAATCTAATATAATCAATTTTTCTTATTACATTAAATCATGACTACATAAATGGTCTCAAAAGATTTAGTGAGAAACAAGTAAGAACCATGCAAATGGTTTTAAACACTTTAATGATACTTGAATAGAGACCATGTAAATGGTCTTAAAAGAGCAACGATAGTTTGAGAAAAAATGTCATGTAAGTAATTTAAAGTATGTAAATGAATCTCAATAATTAACTCTCAAGTAATTTAGTATGTGTATTTTTTTTATTATTTATATTTTTGTTGTTTGTATTAATTGTTGTAAATAGTAAGAAATTACTTATTCTATTTTAATATTGAGTTGTTAATTATCATTATCATTAGCTAATATATATATATATAATAGAGCTCATGGAAAGATCTTGCAAATGATCTTAAAAGAGCCCTTGGAGATTAAGTAAAGATTATTTGTACTATTCTATTTTTTTATTGATATTTTTTTAATACATATGTTGATATTATTATTATATAATTTAATTAATATATAAATAATCTATTATCTTTAGTATTATTATTTGGTTTCTATCAATGAATTGCTTGTCTCTCTAAAAACAACAAGAAGTGGATTTTAAGCACAACTTCAATTACTAAAGAACAAACTTAATAAGCATCAAACCTTAGCTTATGAATTTTATATTTAAATTTTTAGAAAAATAAAAAGGAAAGAATCATAGCTCAGAAAAATAGGTAGGTTTCAAATCTTAATTCCTCAATTTTGTTTGAAATTTTATACGAAAGCAAAGACAAAGCATGGCTTTGCAAAATTAGGCAAGTTCCAAACTTTAGTTTTCTTTTTTTCTTTTTTTTCTTTTTTTTTCTTTTTTCAAAATATATGTTCACTTTAAAAAGAAGCACAATGAGACTTTCTATTGTAAAATTATCTTCTACACCATTCTATCACCTTGTAGTATAATTAAGTACTAAAAATATTTAATTATATGCACCAAGATACTACTTCATCCAAGGTTTTGCCATATCTTCTATGATTTGAGATACATATTAAGCAAGAAACTTAAAGATTTAAAATAAGCCATTTAAGTTTTTTTGGAAGTAACAATTGTTGATATAAAAAATAATCATATAATAAAAAAGATAAAAGTATCAATATCTATTTTTAAACCCTTAAAACATTGACCTACTAAATCCTATCAATGTATTGTTTTAACTTATTCTTAGTCTTCTACCTTCTTAATGCCAATTAGCAATCCAATGTCTTCATTTACAAAAGCTTCACATGATCAAGTTCTAAATAGGACTTTCAATGCAAATAAATAGAAAGAATTTAAAAGAGAAATAAGATTGGAGAATGATGTATAATATATGGCTAGCTTATTGATCAAGTTTTCAATCTACCAATTACTTAAACACCTAAAAAGTCAAATCCATATTTTTGAAGTTTTTAAGAAGCTACTTCATATGACATAAATAAAGTTGCCCACTTCTATCTAAATCCTCTTGTGCAAGAAAATACTACTATTAATATATAAGTCCATAAAAAAAGCTAATGTAGGGAGTACTAGCATGATCATGTAATTTTTATTGCACTCAATTCTACCATTATATCTTTAAACAAAGTAAGAAATTTTGATATTGTGTTAAAAGGCTACATTGATATTTAAGAAATCTTTGGCCGAAAATCTCTAATAAGGCCAAAGACCTTATAAAGAAGATATTTAATATAGATGTGAAGGAACAACTGACAACATACTAAGTGGTAAATTATCCATATATAAAGGAAGGTGATGATGCTACTCACATGCTACTTGATGATGTAGAATTGAAACATTTCTTTAAAGCCATCAAGATGAAAAAACTTGTATTAAAGATTATTACAAAAAAAATTGTCAAAAGAAGAGATTGTAGGATTTATGGATCTTATTATCTATAAATGCTAACAACTATGGTATCATGATATTGAAAGAACTTAAAGATGGTTTACTCAAACAAGGCTCAAAATTCATAGAATATAATATTTCAAAGTTGATGGAAGCAATTGATGAAATTGAAAATGGAAAGATAGAGTTCAAGAAGTTCATATCTTAAACAATGCAAGTAAATAAGGTAGAAATGGAGAATGATTTTTCAACAATCTTTAGTTATTTTGACAAAGACAACAACAAATATATTACCATTTACATGCTATAGGAAGTAATAGAGAAGAATAGAATGGGAGACACCTGTGACACATTTTTTGTTGGAAGCAAATGCCTCAAAAACAAACAAATAAATTAAACTATAACAAAACAAATCAAAATAAATCCTAAAGCGAAAGTCTTAGATTTGACCCCTACCTAGCACATTCATCGACGCCCCCTGTACACATTCCTAGCCTTATAATTCTGTCCAAGCATATGCACCTATGCATCTCACCCACCACAACTCCTTCGAACAAAACCACATACACTTGTAAATTAAACTAGAGGTTTTCATGCAATGCATCCCTCTCATCTTTACTAAATTCAATCTTTAATCCCCTTTGCCACAAAGGCAATCCCTTAATTCAATCCAACATCCAAATATTTTATTAAGTCTCTAATCTCAATTCAATATAGTAGTAATTTCCATGTACAAAACCTAAAAGGCAATTTCACTATCCTACCAATCCAAACTTCTAAACATTTGGATCAGCTAATATTTCAAGCCTTTTATTATAATCAAGACTTCTTTGGCATTGACCATATCAAATTTCCAAATCTTACTTGGTCACTACATCTTCCATTGTACTATTTCCTCCGACTAATGCACACACCATCTTCCATTCTCCTTTAAGTCAAAAGGACTTTTAGTGCCAAGACTTTACCAAGTTTTAGATAGCCAAATTATAGCCCTTGAAGTATGTAAGTTATAGAAATATTATTTAATTTTAGATATTTTGACTTAATTTTATTTATTTATAATATTTTATAATATAAAACTTTACTTGGATATTTTTTCTATTATTTTTAATCTAAGTATTATACTTTTATAACATAAGTTTTAAGGTCACATTAAAGATTTAAATTAGTCACATTTTTAAAACTCAAATAACATGTAATAATA